CTGTGGGTTTATTATTAGATATGTTCTGCAATTCTATGAGTCCAAGACCTATCACTAGATTTCACATAGATCAGATTTCTGTCAAATCTACTATCGTGTAAGGGGATGGGAGTAAATCCCTGGCATGTTGTTTTCATTAGGCTTATGCTTAGTGTTGGATGGTAATTGAAAAATATTTGGCTTGTGTCTGTATGTTACCTTGGCTTTAGTGAATTTGGCTATGTTTATATGTGATCTGTAGTTTGGGTTGAAGTATATACTAATACAATTTTTCTCGTGTTCATTTTTCTTTTCTTGATGTACGTGTCGTTGGGTATTCAACTGAAAGCTATGAGGTTGGCTAGAAGTTAGTGTATGCTATATATATATGTTATGGCTATGTTGTTAATTAATGTACTCCAATTCATTCTTAGTGTCCCTAGTGTTGGAGCAGTGCATAAACATCTTTTTTCCCAATACTCTAAAAACAACAACTTTATAGGCATTTGAATCATTAAAAGTGGTAGGAATAAACAGTAGGCAATATGTTGGTTTAAGAAAAACTGCTCTCTTATTGTTGTTTAATAAAATGTTGAGGTTGAGGAAATAGTCATCCTTATTGTTAATTTAGTCCAAGTTCAGAGTGAACCCACATGAATTGTCATTAATTAAATTTTTGCAAAGTGACATTACTGTCTGACTTAATTTCCATAAAATTAAGTTGTCATCTATGGGGTATATAGAATAATACCATTAGGAGCTCCTGCAATGTGCTGTCCTCCAGTTTTCTAACCACCAACTCATATAAGTCCCCCCAATAGTGGACTATCCATGGGAATGTTGCATTTTTGTAGGTATATTCACATGTTAAAACTCAAAAAAAATGAGGTGTAAAGGAGAAGGTGGCTTAATTCCAGAATTTGGTGGTGATGTGCATGTACTGAAGGCACTATGCTAAGTAAGAAATCTCTTAATGCACAAAAAACGGCTCTTGTCTGATGTACAGTACAGAAACATGGATAAAAAATCAAGCAGTGACATGTATTCAGTGTCCATTAATGTAATGTTTTTTTTTTTAACTTAGCACTACTGAAAAAGATGTTGGACAGTGAAATCATAGTGTTTAATGTGGTCAATTAGTAGATTATGAACTTGTTTTTGTAAGCCCATTATTGTGGATGATCTTGTTTTGTCTACAATTGGAGTAGTAGTATACCTGGCTTATGGGTCTTTGCAAATGAAAAGAGCTGCAGGGTGTCTGGAATTGTATGTGGTGGCATGGTTTAAGTTAAGAACTCTGGCCAGGTTGATGTGCATTAGACAGATAACTATTTTGCAGTTTGTGTACACAGTCATTGTCAATGCATTGGCATTCCTTGATCTTAATGTGCTCTTCCAATAGAGAAACTTACAATGATTTTTGGTAGTACCATTGTTTTGCTTTTCTTGGCTTTGAGAAGGATAATGCTGTTGTTGTTCAGCCATTCTTTGCTTTTCTTGATGTTAACCTTGTTTATATTCCTGGCTTTCATGATTGTTTGTTAGGTTGAAGATTGTTGACCACTGGAAGAAATCTAAGAGTTTCTCTCAGTACCAAAATGATTTTTTTTTCCAGCAAAACTTGGTGAATCAGCACCAAGTTTTGCTGGAATGCTAAATTTAACAATATGTTTTAAAAAATTTTGATTTTTTAAAACATATTGTTAAATTTAGATTTACTAGAGGTAAATCCAAAGTTGCCTGCACAAAAAAATAAGAACAAAGATTATGATTATTAGATTCTTTCGTACTTCTAACCCTTCTATTATATTACATTACAGTATTTGGGTTATATAACTACAAAGGTTATCTTATGTAAGTGTTTATCACACCGAGTGACTAATCTAACACATTTTTTAAATTCTATATTCTTCTACTGTACACAATTTAAAGAATTTTTAAAATGTGTTAGATTGGTCACTTGGTGTGATAAACCCTTACATAAGATAACCTTTGTTGTTATATAAATCAAATACTATAAGAAACATTAAAATGAAAACCATATAGAGTTTGGTTATTTTAGCCTACCACTGTTATGTTTATTGTGATACTCAGATGGTACAAAATGGCACATTTTATTGGTCAAATAGATAGCATTGTTTTCTAATATTAGATCTAACAAATTCACAGTCAAATATCAAATAGTAATCTGCCAACGAATCAAATTTTGCCAAAAAAAAAGGATCAAATATTTAAACTCTGCACCCTTGAAACCATTCAAAACATATTTTGTGCAGGCTAGTACCATGTATTATGTAATTTTCCTATTCAAATGCTACCATACAGCCAGTGCAATAGAAAGATGAGACTGTTGCGGAAGGGGGTTGAAGTAATTTGATCAAAAGTAGTCATTGACCTCCTTCCAGAAGAGAGGGTGGTCTACAATTACTAATTAATACCAGTGTACTATTAATATTTAATATTTGAAAAGTGATCCATGTTGGATAGGTTGTGATTGCCCCCCGCATGTGATGAAAGTTGCTAACCTTAATGTCCAAAAGACTTCATATGATTTGTTTAAATAAAAACATCTAAGTAAAGGAAACTTTTGAAAGTTATGGCATAAGCATATCAGAAGCAGATTTGATAGTAAGACTCAACATGTGAATAAAGTGTACATTACACAGACTACAACTACAGGAAATTTTGAATTAAGCAATGTTGCCATGATAATAATTAGGAAAAATAAACATTGGCACAGAAAGGCTTCAAGCTCTATTTGTGCTTTAAAATCATTGCATGTACTGTACAGTACATTAATTTGGCTGAATGTTAGAACATCTTAAGTGGTAACAGTGAAAAAAGTTTGGGGCAATGGGTTTACAAGTTACTAAGGAGAGATGAAATCAGGGGGGTGAGATGTCCAGGTTTTGTGGTAGTTAAACATGTCCTTGTAAATATCACGTTTATAGAAAAATTATTAGAATTGGTTTGGTGTATTTGGTTACAGAAACGTGACATGTAAGTGATCTGCTGAGGAGGATGCATCCTAGGAATACTTGTGTAAAGCTGGTCCCTATTTAGGTGTTACTAACGTGAAGCAAACCCAAATAACTCCTTGTGGTCAGGTGGGTCTGCACATCACATGGATAACTCCATTGGTGATGCATGAACCCATGACTGACTGACTGACTTCTGGTGTTTGATAGTTTTATAAACTCAGTTACTGGAGGGTACTTGGGCTGCAAGTTGAAAAATTATTGACCTAAAATTTCCACTATCATCTATCTGGTTATCAGTCCTTTGTTAATCTCAAGAACAGAGGGTACTCTTTGCTTAATAGGGCACCAGTTATTTTTACTACTATTTTTAGCGAAATTTATATTTTATTTTGTAATTCATACATGTTTAAAATTATAATGAAATAAACTTACTACAATTATTTTATGTTTTGAGCATGACATCAAGTTTCAGGGTCTACAAAGTTTATATCTGTAGTTTACTCTCAAAAGTTCATATCTGTCTTCTTCTAACCCGACAGTTTTGTACACTTTCCAAAGATCATAAAATATTATACTTCTTTCTTTTACATTATTTCATATAGCATCAATCGATGTGTTAGCTGAATGATTTTGCACGGTGATTAAAAAACACTCTTTCGATTCACAGATAATACCCAGTGACTCTGTGGAAGATCATGTCTGTCATTTTGTTTTCTACATGTAAATTGACTTTTGTACACCTCAATGACTTTGTTTACACCATCTAATTTTACAATGATTGTATCAATTTTGTAATATCTTTAAACATAATGCCTATAAACATTTTGATCAACAAAGATTAAATATAATTTTGAATTTTCTAACTCACCATGTAAGATTCAAATTTCTAGAAAAAAACAAATTGCAGTTTCTTTGTCATTTGACAATTGTCATATTCTAAAATCCATTTGAAATTGAATAATAACAAACTGACCAAAAGGAACAAATATGGCAAACTTTGAAAAAAAAACATTACAGTGTCTAACTTTGAGGTATATCACTCCTACAAAAAAATGTAATTTACATTTCTTTGTAGGAATGATGATGTTGAATGATGCAACTATGAGATGCAGGCAGTAACTATGCAAAGTCAGATGAAAATAAATTTTTAAAATGTTATTTTAACTTTTGATATTATCCTAATTTTAACTTTAACCCCAAATAGCATAAAATAACAAGTTGAAATTCAACTTTTTAATTAAATCAACATGAAAATATGCTAATCATTTTTGATATCAAACATGTATTAACAATCATTGTTTAAATTCATAATTGACACTTAATAAAACATTCAACATCTTCTATCACTGAGAATAATTTATTTAAACACAAATGTTTTCAGCCTAATGGAATAGGCCATCTTCAGGTGAACTGGCATTCAAACGTATTTCAAAATTGTATTAAATGGAATGTTCGATCATTATAAATTCAAAATTAAAACAAAAAATAAATAAATTAACAAATCAATAACAAAAATAAATATACTAAATACATTGAAGCCANCATTAAAAAGCAATTAAGCCTTAATCGAGCCTTATTAAAGGCTCATTAAAATCACGATAAAAATTTTTCACGCGGGCAAAAAATTCTGAAAAAATTTGGGGGCCTAAAAAACATTCCAAAAATTCAAAAAAAATTTTGGGGGGGCCAAACGCCCGCGTTTTTCGTAACGCTATGTAACTTGCCCAAGATATCTCGGGTAATAATAATATAACATGATCTCATTTGTGATAGTAAGTGAATTACGCTATTTTTCAACAAGTGTTTATAATATTATAGTGTTTTAGAGTTTCTGTTTAACTTATACATACCAATAAATATATAACTAATGATCTGTTTTTGATGTTTGATCAAATCATTGCTATATTGTCAACAATAATATACAAATAAATTGAAATTACATATCAAAAAGAATACTGATAATAAAAATAATAACATTAAGATGATAAAAATTAAATCAAATGCTTTCTCATTAAATTAATGTAAAATGCATTGTTATAGATTGCAGGAACCCAGAAAACTTGTGGTACACAATTACTTGCTGTACCAGCACAAGGCATTCTACCTAGTGGATCTCAGGCAGTTACTTTTCAAACAAAACCAGTTTCCTCTATGACAACATGCACTAATCAAAAAGTGGTAACAGTGGTAACAACTCAGTCCTCTGTGATATCATCAACACAAACCCAAGTTATTAATTCTCAAACAACTCCTACAATGACAATTGTTACACAGGTAATGTTATATTAACTTTATTTTTCAGAATTATTGCAGTTAAAATTTTTTTTTTTTTTTTTTTTTTTGAGAAAAGAGTCAAATTTACTGATACTGATTACTTATTACATACAAAAGCATTGAAAATTAAAAACCTTTTTTCTTTAGTCAGTTTGAAATAGCTTTTTACATGAGTAGTTAATCATTAAATTATTAATTTATAAAATTTGCTTTATACAATTTGCATACGACATGCAAACTAATTAAACATATGAATAAAAGTAAAAATCTGTTTTTTATTGTAGGAATTTACTAAGATATGCACTTGTATTGAAAAATAAGCATAATCATTGAAGCAGGGCATTAGCACAGCCTCTTCTTTGTGCCTTATAGAATTGGGTTTGTTCTCAAAATTTGATGGACTGATTTTGATAAAATTCTATCATTGTCCATTAATTGGAATGAAGAATTAAAAAATATAAAAATGGCAGTCTATGACTTCATTTTTGAGATACAATGGAGTCAAGGTGATAATGTTCATGCACCCTGATATGATTCAGTGCAACTAGTAGAATTTAGAGGCCCCCAAAAAAAACATTGTGTACAACCAATGGAAAATAGATGTAAAAAGCAAAGAAAACAAGTACTCTTCTTTGGCCAGCAGGTACAAGGTTGCCTCTCCTATGGCCAGCATTTACAAGGATAGTCTTTTGTGGTGGCAAGTGCAGGATTCCTTTTTTTTTTTCTGGCTCCACCTCAATTCTATCACACAACAATTGCCATCTGTTTTCCTAGTTAATCCGTAGAGTAAAACAGTAAACAAAATAAACAGTAGAAAATTTATGTGAACTGTTGCAGACAATAAAAATGCCTAGGATTTAGTCAAACATTCCATTAAAAAGCATAAGTTGATAAAAAAATATGCAGACTTTATAAATATGGCAGTTGCATGCCATTGCTTCTGTTGTGGTTTAAGTATGAAGGATCATTTGTTATTGTTTTAATGGATGATACTGAATTTTAGTATTTTATTTTTGCAATAATACCACATAGCAATTTTATGAATGGATAAATTATTGGAAAACTAGAAACAAGTCATTTGCAGATAGATATATCCAGAACTCTGAATGTACCACAGAGCATCATATCAACGCTTTGGGCTAGATTTCAAAGAACAGGAGAATGTTATTTGATGTCCAACAGTTACACTTTTCAATAGGACTACTATTTGATGTTAACAGTACTTTGTAACAGAAGAATGACCAGTAGGCAACTCTCTATGGCCATCATTGTTAAGCTGAGATTCGAATAGTGTAAAAAACTAGCATAAAAACCCTTGCCATAAATACTTTTAATCACGTGACCATGATATTTTTATGCTGAAGCAGGTCATAAAACGAACGTAAAGCAAGTTGAGCAATGTTTAACTTTCGACACAAATAAATCAGTACCATCAACCAATCAGAAGTCAGTAGAATCTACGTCATTGTGACATTGTGCGAAAATTGGTGGGAAACGAATTTTTGTGTACATTTTCTCATGGCTACTTAGAAAAGTCTTAGAATAGATCTGGAAAGATTTATCGAAAACATTTGAAAGTATCCATGTATATTCATATATATATGACAAGAGTCATTCTGATTATAAGAATGGATGCCTAAAACAAGCGATATGGGCAGCCAAAGGAAAATCCTTCAATTTAGATGAGTGCAGTTGACCCCCCCCTATAAGACAGTAGATACGCTCCATTCTTTAGGAATCCGATTTCTTACGAGTCCTTCCAATCACAGCCTGACACGTGTCAAGTTTACGGACTATGGCTGTTTGAAAGGTTTTCTTCCATAAAATTAATCGATTCTAGACTAATCTGACTCAACATTTCCAAAATACGTATATTTTTTTTGAAAATAATCCATATAAACTACGCATAAACAAAAAATTGTAGGATTACTTACAGAGTGTACACCATTCGACATCGCCATTGCTCAAGCTTGTTTTCGTCACGGAACAACTCAGCAAACTGCGGCACTATTTCTGATGTTATTTTTCTGCGAAAACTTCGCTGAACTTTGGAGACATCATTAATATAAATAATTTTAATCGCCATTGACTAAGAAATGTTTTTTTTACAAGAAATGTATAAAATTACAGTAATGTATTAGACTTACGGTACCTAATTTACATAATGTACAGACGATAGTTTGCCTAAACTTTCCGTAGCGTGGCGCCAGGCGGCGGAAAAAATATATATATAATTATAATAAAGTAAATATAAATACAATAAATTAAGTTAATATATAATTATATATACAATACCTAATTTATATATAATTAATATATAATTATAAGTACAGTACCTAATTTATATATAATACTGTACACACGATAGTAATCTCTCCGTAGTGTGGCGCTTGACGGCGTGGAAAGTAGTTCGGCTGCCCGATGACGTTTTACGTAATTATAGGAGTAGTTTTTTTACCATTTTTTACGGATACCGTCACAATTTTTTTGCTGTCTTATAGGAATTGTAATTATAGGAACCCGTTTTATAGGGGGGTCTACTGTATTATATACAGTAAAATTATACATCGTGTGTTCTATGTAGAATTTTTTTCTTAGTTCGGCAAGCTCATGCCTTTTGCTTTTATAAATTTTAAATTACATTAAATTTAAGAAAATAAATTAATTCAGTGTCTCAAGTGAGAAACAGATTAAACGAGAAATATTTAAAAGTTTTTCAATTACGAAAAATATGGAAATTCTATGGAGTAATTTGAAAATAAACGTCAAGATTAATAGAAATTCGACTGGAAATTTATATTTACAATTCTTTCAAATTGCAGCTCAATAAAGAACATCAATACACACGAAACACTAAATATATATTTCGGTATTGACATTTGTCTCACGGATTAAAAAATAATATACAGTGGGTGATCGGTTAACGAACATAATCCGTTCCAAGACTTTGTTCGCTATCCGAGTTGTTCGTTAACCGATTAACAATTTATGGGAATTTGATTAATTCGTTCTGGAGACTCCCAAAAATAAAAAATATATACTTTCTTACTACGTTTATTTATGTAATAATAAAAATACATATTATACACAGACTTGAATTTCATTAGTCATGTTTTTTGTTTGTGGGGGTTAAATAATCTGTCTAATGTCGATTGCTTCTCTTTCTTCTTCAGAATTTTCAGAATTAATACCATTGTAATTGTAGAGATCCCTAAGCCTATTAACCTCAACCTGGTTTCTATGCCATTCTAAGACCGTTGTTCTAACATCCTCCCACTTTTTCAAAAAATATTTAATAACAGATGTCGGCATTAATCCTCTTTTTCATAAGAAAACATATCTCGCTGAGTTTCTTGTTGTTCTTTATTCAAGAGTTCTTCGTATTCTGCTGTCGTCAGATCAGTTTCGGGTTGCATTATGAGCTCTTCGATGTTCTCTATTTCTCAGATGTGATATTTGTTACTCCTTTAGCTGCTTGAGTTTTCTTAATTATACTGTATCTTTCTTAGATAAGATTGAACTGCGCCCTACTGTTTTGTTCAAGCCGTACTGCCAAGTAATATCAGACATCTTCTGCTCTACCTTTGCTATTAAACTCTCACCTTTTAAAAATAAAAACCGACGCAAAACTTAATTAATGAGTGCCCGCCCGACAGTCTCGCGAATACTATAAAAGAATTGTTTGTCAGAAAAATAAAAGGCTGGAATTACAAGGGAGTATTTCAAAGTTCGAGGAATACTATCTCTGATCAGTATATATCGGGTTGAGCGTTGACGTTGACGTCTCCCTCGCTCCAAAAAGTTACCTGAAGACAAAGGAAAATCAATCGGTATTTGCTATTTCCGTCGCTTCTTTTTATGTTTGTTCAGTGAAGTGTTCGTTAACCGATCACCAACTGTATTCTTGTAAACCACAATAGAGTTAAACATAAAATCTTACTGTAAATATTTTCAATTTGATTCAAAGTTTACAATTTATCGTTTAATCTATGAAATATTANACATTACTTTTTACATTACATTAAAAACTCATTTTTAATCACTGAGCCTTCTACTACCCCCTGAAATCCTCCAGTGCTCACAAGGGGCGCTATTGCCCACTTCCAGAAAGGATGCTCTAGGGAGACAAGTTGCATCCAGCAAAAACCACTTCAGGAGCTTCAAAATGCTTTTGTTCAAAAATGGACTTTGCTCTTGACAATGATAAACAATATTACAGTAGACCCCTTATAACACAGTAGATAATGTTGTGTTATAGGAATTTCAAGTTGTACGAGTCACTTAGATTTTACAAATGTGTGCCGGGCTGTGAACGGCTCACGTATTTGTAAAATCTAAGTGACTTACAATGTGCAATTCATATAACACAGAATTATCTACCATGTTATGGGGGGGTCTGCTATATTACAGTAGAGTCCTGCCTAGTTCGAGCTACTTGGGACTGAGCCTGTTCGAATTAGCAGATTTTCAGATTAACTGAATAATTGAAATAATGCAGAAACAAGCAGTAAAACAGGTGTGGTTTATATAGATCTAACACCATCAATGACTTTTGTTCCTGTTTTTGTGTATATAAGTACTGTATGTTTTTATTAGGCCATGTCAAACACTGATTTATTAATTTTGTACAGTATTAATTTTAATACAGTACTACAATAAAATACAATTTTTTTTTGTTGTAGAATTCTAATTCTATTTGTACCTTTAATACCATTTAAATTCAACGGGGGGAACATATTTTGTGAGCCAAAAAATTTTCTCTCCACTGAATGAAACATGTTTGGATTAGCGGGATTCTACTGTATCAGCATGAACAATTGCTGTTCAGCTGTATGTATGCAGGAGGCAATTATATGCCATATTAATCATTTCCTGTGCAAAAAGATTTAGAACAATGCTTAAATACATTTTCTTGTCTTTGATTTAATGTAATTTAGATTATATTATTGCTTTTCACTTATGTTGTTGCATACAGAATACAATGTTCTGCTTTTATGTTA